GTGCCGTGCTTCCGTCCTATAACCTTCCTGGCTAAAACCCCCCCCCCCCCGCCATCTGCTCATTTCCTGCCCTGCATTTAATCCCGGCGCCCCCAGACCTCCCTCATTTCAGCAGCAGATGATTAGAAAAATCCTGACATTGGAGCGTTCTAGCACAAGACCCCAAGTTAGGCTCAATTGTATTTAGAAATCAAATCTCAGGCAGGTTGGTATAATCACAGAATTAGTCCCAAAGGAGCTGTGGGTTTTTTTAATGCCTTGGCCCGTAGCTTCAGAGACCTGCCAGCAGATCTTCCCCCGGGGCACTCCAGCTTACCCTCGAAATGTAACAGAGACGCTGATTTCTGCTTCCCTTTATTTATTCATTTTTAATTCGTTCCCAGCCCTTTCCCTTCGACAAAGATGACCGAGTTAGGGGCTGTTCCTGGTTGTCCAGGCCAATGGATGGAAGCAATAAATAGCGCCCGCAAGGGATCGGCCACTTGAGAGCTGGCGCTTCACCTACTTCAGCTCCAGAAACGTGGGCTGTGTTTTCCTGCCAATCTCTTGCTGACACAGCTGCACCTGTGGCAGCGCTAACGCGCCAGCTGCTGTCGAGGCGTTCGAGAAAAATGCCCGTGTAGACAAATCCACCAGGAAGGATCCTTTAACCCCCAGGAAGTCTGGCACAAATAACATGATTTTAAGAATAGTGATAGAAATGTCTGAGGAAGTGGGTCTGGCCCACGAAAGCTCATCACCTAATAAACCATCTTGTTAGTCTTTAAAGTGCTACATAGTCCTGTATTTTGTTTCATGATTTTAAGAAGTGATTCAGTCCCATTGTAAGTGTTAAGGGATTGGAGGGGACCGGCTGTCCAACTTGGCACCGGCTAACGAATTCTGAGGGGCTAAGTGACCATTAGAAGAGGGCCTTTTACAGAAACGCCTCTCAAAAGAGAGAAAGTTGAACACGATAGCGAGTCTGTTTGCAGGGCTTGTTGTTCGCTTTAACCCAGGAATAGGGAACCTCTTTTGGGTTGGGGGCCACTGACCCACAGAAAACTCAGTCGGGAGCATGCAAAGGTGAGAAACAAACAAAACGCACATTCCCCTCACAGACCAGCGCCGGGGGCAGGGGAGGGGGCAGGCTTGTAGGTTTTGTGGGCCCCCTACACTCTGGGGTGGAGCCAAAAATGGGGAGTTGAGTGTATGGGAGGGGGGCTGCCGGGAAGCAGGCTTGGGGTGAGGGGTGTGGGCGGGAGGGAGGGTGCAGGAGTGGGGAGGGGGTTGGAGGGTCTGGGGAGGATATAGGGTGCAGGAGTGGAGTGGGGATGCAGAATCTGGGTGGGAGGGGGGGACACAGGGCTGGAGTGCCAGCTCCCCAGGTTTGGGGGGGGTGCTGAGCTTCTGGGGGTGGACCCAGGGAAGCCAAGGGCCAAATCCGGCCCCCGGGGCACAAGATTTGCCATCCCTGCTTTAACCCTCACAGAGTTCCTTTCCGTGAACTTCCCGGATGTGTGTGTGGGGGGGTTCCAGTCCGGGGCTCCGCCTGAGAAGAGCTCCCCACCCCAAAAGCGCCTGCCCTGGCCCGAAGCACAGTGCCTGAGCCTGTCTGTCATGAGGCACCGAGCCCTGCTGATGTGGCAGTGCCCTAAGACACGGGGCTGGTGGCACCCACCTTCTGCAAACAGCTCGTGCTCCTGGCCCAGCCTGGTTGTCAAACATTTGCCTGTGGCAGGTGCGTGGGGCAGCCCCCCTGGCCTGTCGCAGTCGACTGCCCAATGCCCGGCGCTGGCGAGTGTTAAACGGCCCTAGGCAGTGAAGGGACGTCTCCCCCGGAAGGATTTCCCTTCGGCCACCCGTATAGTACATGCCGACTCCCCCCCGCCCCTCCGGGTGATTCTGTTCCGTCCCCTCCACCCAGGCTGACGCCGGGCCCCGGGGCGACATGCAGCCGCTGCCCTTCGCTCATCGCACCCAGGCAGGCCGTGAGTTCTGCTTCCCCACTCTCGGGCTGGGGCTCTGACAAGGGCCCGCTGGCGCAGGGGCAGCCCGGAGACGCCGGGAAAACGTCCCTCGACGGGGGTGGGCTGCCTGCCGGCCTTCCCGAGGAGCAGGCAAAGGCTCCCATTGTTCCTGCTGTCCAAGCAGCGGAGAGCTCTCCCCCCGGCCCCCGGCAGGCGCCGGGGGGGGCGGCCGCCAG